TTTTCAACTCAAGATCCCATATAGAAGAGACGAGATAAGGGATGGAATCATTACATTAGCCGACTTGGTAGCTCCAAAAATACACGTTGAGCTTGACAAGATGGGCTACTATTCGATAACAATTGATGCGGCATCACACGGAAGCCGGCATGGCTTTTTTGTGATGGCTAGCAATCCAGCAAAAATGAAGAACCATATCTTCATTGATACTATGATCGCTGATGGTTGGAATGCCAGGGATTACAATAATTTCTTTGAATGTTTTACCTTCCCAAAGGATTTCCTTTCTGCAATTGTTGCCGATGGATGCCCCGCCCAAGTTAAAGGGCTGTGCCACTGGAGGAGATGCGGAGCACTATATCCGGGTCTTCAAACCGTTTATATCCGATGTGTTGCGCATCTCCTCAACTTAGTGGTGAAGCATACGGCAGACAATTGTGCAGCTTTCGCAATGCAAATTAATTATTGCAAAGCGATAAGCAAGGAGTTATCGAAGCCGGACACGAGAAGGGCATTGAATATGAGGGTTATTCATGTTCCGGATCATCGCTGGATGTTTTTCTGGGATCTTCTGAAGTGGATAAAAGAAAAACACCCTAAAATTTATGAATTGTTCAATATGGATGATCCACCGGAATCTGTTCAGATCTTAAGGGATATGGGAATTGATTTCAAGGATGGACTTCCACAATGGTTGTTAAATTTCGAAGAGATTCTTTTACCAATCAAGAAACTCTTGAATTATGCAGAGAGTGACGTTGGCTGCTTCTGCTACATCTATCCAATGTTTCAATCGACGATTGAGCAGTTGACCGGAATTGCAAATCGTCCTGAATTATCAAGTTCGTCAAAGCGCATTGCAGATGCATTAATCGCCAACATGAATGAAGTTTTTGACAAACAGGGCAACTACGCTTTGATGAAATTTGCCTTTGGTCTAACTCCATGGGGCCGGTCAGTCATCCGCGCAGAATTGAACATGCATACTGAGTACAAGCCAGACGTTTCACTCTTCTTCCAAGAACCAATACCTATCAATGCTGAACTTGAAATCCCTCCAAGGAGCTACACCCCTGATCATTTGGATGAAGTGGCAGAGGATCAATTGGACAGAAATCTAGATATAGAAGAGCCCGAGATTGAGAACGAAGCAATTGAAGGTGATGGCCAAGTAGATGCAGAAGACATTGCTCAGGATGAAGAAGTTGAAGAGAATGAACCAAGGAGGAGACTAGGCAGGAACCTTGGTGAATGGGCGTCTCTGTCAATGCAAGAAGTGGAAGAGTACAGCTTCAACGATTTTATGATCGAGATGCTTTCGAGACGTGCAGAAGCAGAAGCGAGGTTCTACAAGAGAAGTTCGGCCAAGAGCATAGCTAATGAGTACAAGAAAGCTCTTTCCAACTTTATACATATGAATGAGAGTGAAATCAGGAACAACACCGACCTCACCTGCTTGGATCAAAGGTTTTGGGTAGCATGTGATGCAAATTTCAAGGCATTGAAAGAGATTGCCTTAAAATTCATGTCTATTGCTGCAACCGAAGCTGATGTGGAAAGAATGATTTCAATTGTGCGGAACCTGCGTAATAGGTTTAATCAAAACGCACGTGAAGATCTAATAAAGTGTAGAATCCTATTGAAGCTTTTCATGACAAATGAAATCCTGAAAAAGATATTTCCAGATCTGACTGATCTTTAACTTGCCGTAGCCTCTTGCTGCCGTAGCTCCTTGATGCCATTGACCTGCCGTAGCTCCTTGATGCTGTAGCTCCTTGATGCTGCTTGACCTGCCGTAGCTCCTTGATGCTGTAGCTCCATGCTGCAGCTTGACCTACTGTAGCCCCTTGATGCTGCTTGATTGTAGATGTTGGCTTTGAATGATGCCGCTTGACCTGCCGTAGTTCCTTGCTGCAGCTTGATTGTAGATGTTGGCCTTGAATGATGCCGCTTGACCTGCCGTAGCCCCTTGCTGCCGTAGTTCGTTGCTGCCGTAGCTCCTTGCTGCTGCTTGATCGTAGATGTTGCCCTTGAATGCTGCCGCTTGATTGTAGATGTTGCCCTTGAATGCTGCCGCTTGACCGTAGATGTTGGCTGTGAATGTTATCGCTTCAACCGCTAGCTCCTAACTGCCTCCAAACAGCCGTTTTGCTATGACCTCAATCACTTTTATTTATTATTTTAAATATTATTTAATTTTATTATTTGAATAGGCCAACTTATATTTGAGAAGCTCAATTTGAGACCACTTAATACATTGAAATATCATAAATATTGAAATATTAAAAAGTGTATTTCAAAATATTGAAATTATAAAAATTTATAATACTGAAATTGAGACAAATTAATAAATTCAATGTGTTTTTTTTTGAAATAACTCTCAAATATTATTTTTTTGTTTATTTAATGATGAATAAATATGATTGCTTTAGTCAATCATAAAAACTAATTTAAGTTTAAAATAATGAAAGGATAATTTGATCGTTTTTTAAAATACAATTATTTTTGATGATTTGCAAGAATCTTTGAAAAGAATATAATATAGGTTCTATTATTGTAAAATTTATCCAAATCATGTATTACATAAATTACGATTAAAACGATGAAAGAACCAAAAAGTGTGTTTTGTGTTTTGTTGTTGCGTGTTGGATGCGGGATCCTGTTATTTCCGAAATCGACAAAAATTTGGAAATTTAATTTCCGAAATCGAAATTATATTAATGTTTTTAATATTCTTATATCAAAAGGATTAAAGTTCATTAAGAGAAAAATAATTCTTCTTCTTCAATCTATTGGCGCATTTATTTCTACACGCCAATAAGGAAGGGAAAATTATAAGACACCATGGTGTCTTCAAAACGCTAATTTTTGATATTTTTAACAACCCTATCTTAAATTCATCATAAATTCTGGTACATGTTAGTACCAGAGTCTTCAAATCTCAAACACTCTGGTACCAACATGTACCAGACGCGAGTTTCCAATGCCCTCGTACAATTTTCTATTAAGATCTTCTTGAATGAGAAGGTCTTCATAGAAACTCGTACGAGGGCTTCTCTTTTAAATACTCTGGTACCTGCTGGTATCGGAGTCGACTTTACAGCCCTTTCCCCAATTTTGAAGCTGGGGAAAGTTTTCAAGCAATGAAAGGGAAGCTCTCGCTATGAGGTGAAAATCTAGAATTTTTACCTCATAGCGAGTAATCCTTTGTTAATTGCTTGAAAACTTTCTTCAAATTATCAAAATTTCGAGGAAAGTTTCCTTGCTTCAAAGTAGAGATGGAGCCCTTTGAGCCACTGCATATAGGTCAGTGACTCAAAATACTCCATCTCTACTAGAAATCGCCAAAATTTGGGTCGCAATCTTTGAAATGCGACGCAAGTTTGGGCAATTTCGCGAGGGACTTGCTCCATTTGGTGCATAGATTCACACTCTATGCACCAGATGGAACAATTCTTTCGCTGACAGCGGGAAACTTGGTCTGAATAGTTTAACATTCAGACAAAGTTTCCCGCTGTCAGAGAGGGAATGGAAGGGTAAGAGGTATATATTCATAATGTATACCTCTTACTCTTCCATTCCCTCAAGAAAGTTCAAAAACTTGGGTGCAATCAGAACTGATTGCACCCAAGTTTTTGAATTTTGTATAAGGAATTGTTGGCTATGATGTACTGATCATGAATCAGTACATCATAGCCAACAATTCTACCTTTTAACCAAAGATAATTGATTCGTATGTAAAATATTAAGCTAAAATTTCTCTTTCTTTTAGTACACATTCTTCCATTTCGTGTACATGTATCATATATTAAGTACTAGTTATCTATTCTATATCCTTTATCCCAATTTAGATACTCAAAGATAATTCTTTTTCAGAAGAAAAAAAATATTTTCTATTAAACCGTTATTTTTTCAATGTGAGTTTTCAATTTTATTTTTCCTTTTTGCTGCTCAATGCAACATCCTCCACCCGATCCTCCATGCGAGGTTGATCAAGCCATAGGATATTTAGAATATTCTCGTTTTGTTATAGCTGCAGAGCTGCATGGTAACATAAGATTTGTCAAAGACCCACAAAAACTATCAATTGGAACAGGAGTATTAATCTACCACCGATGCGAATACGAAGGCTGCCCAGCAGGCTTTAAATTTATTAAAAATTTCGACAATTACATTTTTAAATCTGCAAACTTAACTCATATTCACTCAGGACCACCACCACAACATAAAAATACACCTACAAGTGGTACTTACCGTGCTTGGATTAAAAAATTTCTCATGAATCACGGAAGTCCACTTAATGCAACACAAGAAGTCAACAAAACGCTTGAAATACCTAAAGATCATACTTGTATTCACATGACTATGAAACAAACTGCAATCAATCAATTGAAATATTATTTACAACAAAAAGATCTTATGAGATCTTTACCAGACATATCTTTAAATCAATTTCAATCTTTACAAAACTATGTTAATCAATGGGAAGATCAACATGATGACCTTATTTATTTTGACATTCAAGGTGAAGATACTGATTTTCCAGACAAATTGGTTTTTATTTACTCTGATAATGATATGATCTCTCAAATTCATGAAAAACCACCAATTTATCACTTAGACTCTACGTTTAAATTAATTATTCATGGATTTCCTTTTTATGTATTAGCTACCAAATTTGCTAATACTCATTCTATCCCTTTGTGTTATTTTATAATATATCCAGATAATAGTGAAAATATTTCTTTTTGCTTAAGTAAATATTTTGAAACAACTCACACAGAACCTGAATTTATCATGTCTGACTGTGCACTAAACATTTTCAACGGGATTAGGAATTCATTTCCGGAGTGCAATATCTTTTGGTGTGCGCTACATGTAATACGCGCACTTAAAAAGAATCTCTCAAAGATAAATGATGAAGAGATTAGATCAGAAGTCGAAAAATTTATGAACATTTTATGTTATTATCGTGATTGCACAGAAGAAGATGCTGCAAAATGTATAAAGAGCACATTATTGATAAAATTCAAGATCAATTGGAATTTAATCAATACTTTACACGTCAGTGGGACATTCATAAACAACAGTGGATAGCCGCTGCCAGACCAAATGAATTAACCGTTGTGAATAACGTTTCTGAATCTTTATTTAAAAAGATAAAATATCACGATTTTGGCTGCGTTAAAAATCAAAGAATTGATATTTTTGTCAAAAATCTTTTAGAAGAAGTTGCACCCAATTACTTTTATCGTATTAAAAACGATTTACTTCAAACAGGTTTTATTCCTTCAATTAGAATTCGCGAGCCTCGATTGACAGATTATAAAACAAAATTGAAAAGAGAAGTTCAATCACGTTTATACCAAGTATTAAATTTTGTTCAGAATCAAGAAGCCAAATTGAATCCATTAAGATTTTTATTGGAAAATGCTGAAGAAAAACTTTCTCAAATAAATGAGAAGATACAAAATTCAATTACATATTTAAGATCGTTTGAAATTCCAAATGAATTGTTAGATACGTATATGTTAGAAATTAATGAATTTTGTTATAATTCTCCAGGTTATATTTTAGAACATTTCGAAGAATTTTTGGAGGATTTCAAAGAAAAGAATAATTTAATAGACTAAAAAATTTATTATTTTTATTTATTGTGAATTTTAAATTGTCACTTTTTAAGTGTTACTCCCTATTGAAAGTATCACTTTTTTGAGTGTCACTTTTCCAGAAATTCTTATATACTCGAGCCTAAATAGGTAGCCAAGATATTGCCTAAAAATAAGGTTCTAAATTCTGAAGTTTACATGATCCTCTCGTGTGCACCCTTAAAGTTTTTCTGAGAATAATACACAACAAATGAGTGTTCCATAATTCAATCTTTTGTCGTATAAAATAAAGTCTTAATTGTTATAACTTAACATAACTTGTTATTTTGAAATTAATTCAAACATGGAGTTTTAAAGAAAACTAGGTCAGGTAAGTGGGGCTTCCAGGCGCGTTGCGCCCTCTAGCCCATAAGAAATTTTTCCCAAGACCCAAGAGGAGGACCGAACCCCAGCCGACCAGCCGGTGACAAAACCAAAACCGTTGTTATTTACATCATATTAACAGTGTCACTTTTTAAAATGTCACTTTTTGTGTCGCTTTTCACAAATTATATATGTTTTCATGTTTTGTCACTTTTCTATCACTTTTCGGGTAAAAACATTTTTATTATTATATATAAATGAATTTTACAAAACCACCGTTACCCTTCTTTGGAAATAAGAGTAGATGTAAAGATATTATATTGAGAGAACTTAAGAAACTACCGAATGGTCTAACATTTGTAGATTTGTTCGGTGGAAGTTTCTATATATCCCATTTATGTCATACAATATTCCCAGACTCAAAGATTATATGCAATGACTTCGACAACTATATGGACCGTCTCAAACATATTCCAGACACAAACAATATATTGAAAGAGTTAAAAGAAAAGATACCTATAGGTAAGATGGAACGTATACCATTAGATAAGAAAAATATTGTGAGAGAGGTTTTGAAAAAAGCAGAATATATAGACTGGGATAGTATATCTGCTAGACTATTATATAGTGGTGCTATAAGAGTTCATGACATTGAAACACTTATGTCAAAAGTTTTATATCTTAACTATACAAATGTTTTCAAAGAGGACATAGAAAAATATATTGATGGTATAGAGTTTGTGAGATGTCATTGGACAGAGTTGTATGAAAAATATAAAGACAAGGAAAATGTTTTCTTTATAGTGGACCCGCCGTTCTATAACACATGGGATTTTCAATACTAAGTAGACTGGACTTTGAGAGACTCTTTAGAAACTTTAGACATTATACATAACCATCCATGCTTTTACTTTACATCCGATAAAAGTGGTTTGAAAACCGTTATGAGATGGTTAGAGGACATACATGACTATGAGTTTATATATGACAAGATAGAATATGAGAGAGGTCCTATAAACTGGAGAAAGTGTCACAATAAAGAAATTTTATTAGTAAGTAAATGTGGTTTGAAATAGGACTACTTGTTTTAGGTTTTTTCCATTGTGTCATTTATTTATTTGACGTGGCAGAAAAGTACAGAGAATATGAAGATGAACCAATGCCTGCAAATGTTCAGCATATGTACTCGTAAGAGATATTTTTATCTAATATTAAATGGACGCACAGAACTTAGCGAATGCACAGCAACCTGGACAACCAAACCCAGAGAATATTCCAAATGAAGTTAGAATACAAACTGCAATGGCAAACTATGGTCAAGTGCCAACAGATGTACAAATGCAAACTGCCATGTCAAATGACGCTGCGTTAGGTTTGCCACCATGGTATGCAAATATGAGATGGAAAGAGTTTTATACAAACCCTGAAGTGGGATATAAACAACTTTATGCAGATGACGCGAACACAGGAGTTGACCCAGAATATGTTTTCTACCAGAGGAGAAACAGAATGTATGAGCTGCAGTTAAAGAATGCTATGGAACTCAACAGGAAACGTAAGAGACTAGGCGGACATTAGATTTTTACTACTAGTAAAATGGGTTTCTTCAGTAGTATTGGAAACTTCTTCAGAAGAGTTGGAAGAGGTATATGGAATGGAATAAAATCTGTCGGAAGAGGAATGGAACGGTGTCAAAAATATTGGTAAAAGAGTATGTCAGTTGTTGGTATTATACCTAAAGACCCTGAACCAGAAGAACAAGCTCCTGTTATACAACAGCCTGAACCTGCACCACAGTCTAGTTGGCAACCAAATCCAACACCTCAACCGTATTAAAAAATTATATTTTTACCGTTCGATAGTAGTTGTATATGAAACTAAGTTCTAAGTAAAACGCATGGTATAATGGAATTATTCTTTTTCTTCCATCTGTAGTAAACCATACTTGAAAGTCTGAAATACTTCCACTCGGCGGTTCATATAACTTTGTAGGTTTTTCGTAAAAGTCATTCATCAGACATAAGAAAGAGTTTTGCGCACCAGAAAATGAAGCATGAACAATAATAGCATCTTGGTCGAAAATATTTTCATATGTTCCATTAGGGTTTTCGACTTCATAAAAGTCCGGGTGTACTGGATATGCTGCAGGCTGATTTAACATCCTCATAAATCTATACCATGCCAAGTTGTTATATTTTGTAGAAATATAAACGTTTTCTCCAAGGTCTTCTATTTTATTGATTTTAACAGTTGCATTTTTCCTGTCATAAATAATATCGAGATGGTATTCTCCTTCGTCAATGTTATACTGGTTTGCATATTCAATATAGATATCGTTTATTTTTTCTTGAAAAGCTTGAAGAGTTATTTCTAAGTTTATAAGCAAATTCACTTGTAAAAGTTTTCCCTGTTCAAATTTCTCATACATACGTTTTTCTTTGTTATAGTATCGAACTTCAAAACCGACCGTAAATGGGAAACCATGTATGGCTTCTGAAATGAACTTCATTCTACGAAAGCCAATAGCTTTTGTGACAGATGGGTCTCTTAACCATCTTAATGGGTAGTCAAAACGATAGCCTTCATGCTTTACGGTATCTGTCTCAAACTTTTGACCGACATTAGTAAAAAGTTCATCTAATGGTTTAGTTGTAGCAACTCTAGAATTTTCTTTTTCTATTGGAAGCATATTTTATCTATAATAAAAATGTCAAATGAAACAGCGTCTATGAGAGAAATACAACACAACCGACAACTCATTATGCAAGCTCTAAATAAGAACACAACAAACTTTTCAAACTATTCTAAGATATCTGAGTCATTGAAAGGGGGTGACTTAAAACTGACAATAAACCCAATGATAGATGAGTTTCTATTTCAAAACAATAAGAACAATACTGTCTGTATAAATCTAACAAAAGGAACTTTAAACGAGAAACTTATAAATGAACTTCTTTTGAAAGCAGATGTTGACAACAAAGCTGACAAAGAATATGTAGACGATGCAATAGCAAAAGAAGAAGAAAGAGCTAACAATGCTTATGCAACAAAAGAACATACTCATCCTGAACTAGCAGACAAAACATATGTTGACAATAAAATGTCAAGTGAAGTGACAAGAGCTGAAAACAAATATTCTAAAAAGACTCATATACATTATATTAACCAAATACCAAGTCTTAAGGAAACATTAGAGACAAAAGCAGATAAGACTCATACACATTCTATATCTGATATTACAAACTTACAAGAAACCTTAAACAGGAAAAGTGACGTTGGACATACACATACCATTGCAAATATTACAAACTTACAAGAAACCTTAAACAGTAAAAGTGACGTTGGACATACACATTCTATATCTGAAATAACAGACTTAAACGTTAGCCTTGAAAAGAAAGCAGATAAAACATATGTCAATGAAATATACCAAAGTTTGATAGGAACAACAAAAAATATTGAAACTATTGTTGGTGACTTTTCTGTCAATGAAGAAAATAAATATTTTAGATGGCAGTTGGTACAGTCCTTAAAAAATGGTACACGGCATAAACTCATTCCGAAAAATAACAATGAAATGTATGTAAGCTATAAAAAGAATGATGGTACACAAGTTAAAGTTCCATTAGACAACAACTGCTACTTAAACTTATATGGAGACGAACAAAAGAAATATTTAAGAGTTTATGAAATGGCAGATATGACATTGCCTGACCCAGCTCCAGCACCATATTATTATGACTATGGAGATGACGACAGAACACCACATGTAGATGAACAAAAGCTAACATTATATTTAGATTATTATAGATATAAAAGATATAATGCAATAGAAAAAACGAGAATAGTATATTATTATACAGATGACAGAAATAAATATTATAGTCAAGACTTTACCTACCCTGAAAACATAAGATTATATTATAAAAAATATTCTGACACAAACCAGAAGAAACCTGAAATAGTTGCACTATATTTTAAGTTCAAAAGAGACAATCCTATAATATCTCATATGTTTGATTTAATGAACCCAGTAGGTTCTATTTATACATCTATGGATGCAAGAGGTCCTCAAGTAATGTTTGGTGTTGGTGCATGGGAACAAATAGTCGACAGGTTTTTGTATTGTGCAAACTCTTCAAAGGAAACAGGTGGAAGTAAAACGATTTCAGGTGAAAATTTACCTGCACACAGTCACTACATAGATTTAAGTACATCTCAAGCAGGTTGGCATAAGCATAATATTGGGATTGGTCAGCAATGACAAAAGGTAAAGGATATGATGTTAAAGACACGTTAAGTTTGCTATAAATTGTTACTGGAGTGAACTCAGGGAGAAGGAAACCATACACATTTCGTTTCAGGATATACGCAAACAACGGGACAAAGTAAAGAATACATGCCACCTTACATGACAGTTTACGCATGGTATAGAATTGCTTAGTCGTCATTTTCAACTTCTTTAGCATATTCGTCAGGAGTTGTCTTATATTTGTTAGGAACTGTCTTTGAAAGTATACCACCTTGAACTTTGACAAGTTTGAAACGAGGTCTGACAATAGTAGTTTTATCTTCTGCTTGCATGTGTACATTTTGCCATGTGTGCCTAAAACTTCATAATATTCTCTTGTATACTTTCTTCTATTTTTACGAACACGAAT